ACAGGAGGGCAGAGAGGTCAGGCTTGATTATTCTACCCTGCTCTCTTGGAAAACAAAATAAGAAAAATATTTACACAAACAGGAAGCTTAGAATGTCCTAATGATTGGAAACACGCTGGGCGCTACATATACCACACACATACTGATTTGGAATCAAATGTAGTATCACAATAGAAAACTGGCATTAAAGGATTGTTGAGAAGCCTACTTTGACATTAAACGGTGAAATGTTTCAGCCCCAACTAAAAGCCCATTAATGGTGCTGAGTTTAGACTTCCCTCCAGCAATGTTAGATCAACCATAATAACTTGCGAGTTTATGGACCTTTGCTCCCCAAATGTCTACCATGTTGCTAATTGCGTACATCTGTGGCTGGTGTTTTGATGTTTTGTCTCAATGTGCAGCTGTCCATTCCGTTTCCAACAGCCTCTGGTTAAAAGTGGCATGGCCCTCTGTTATCTGTGTCCAGCCCTGAAATAGAAGCAGCGCACGTGCTTTGTGATTCACCAGGAGGACCTTGCCTTTTGTACCAAGTCTTAAAGTTGGCTAATTTATTGGCTAAAATCAAAGAAGGATATATGCACATTAAGCCTCCAGCCATTCAATGGTTTTATGTAGACTATAATAACAAGCGGACACTCGCCAGCAGTAATGCCTGTTCAGGTTGGACACAAACAGAGGGCCATGCCACTTTAAACGATGGAAAATGGAGACAAATAAATAGCAAGCATTGAAACCAACATGATTACTTTTAAGTAAAGAACGTGGTCAACTTGTATCAAATGTTGGGATATATTGTATTTCTGTATCCAGAGTTTTGTTCTTCATGCTGATGTTACATCAGCGTGTTATTTATTTATTGTCACGGGTCAAACTGAAACCGGCAATGGCCCCAACTTGTGGTTCGTGGCTGCTACAAAGTCTCCAACAAGTCCATTATTGAGTCCTTAAATCCAACAACATCAGCCAACGGGGAAAAGTACAGTATTCCTGCCAATTCCAAGTAAAAAGCAACCTTTTTTGTGTATGTAATTCGACATTTTGTAAAAAACTGCTTTGTTGATGACCTGGGAAATGCCATTAAGTTAAAAGGGAAACATGACCACCACCATCCACACACTTTTGAGGGAATGGTGTCAAATATGGTCATTTGACTAACAACTAAAACATTTTAAATGTGTAAGCTGTATAAAATGTCAAACATTGATGACGTAAAATCTCCACACAAACAATATAAATTAACATATAAACATTTGTTAAAGTTAAATATGTACATTTGAAAACTCGCCTTTTTCACTTTTTCTGCTATCTGTCTACATTAAGGTTTCTTGCAATTCAGGTTGTTTTTTCTGTAAATCCTTCAAATATGAATACATCCTTCAAAAGATAGCCAAATTATGCAAATATTATTCTTGTCTTAATTTACAGCATACATATGACACAGAGAAGAGAAGCTGTGTTAACTTTTAGATTAAATTCAGTTCATTTTATAAAAGAAAACCCTTTTTGATCGCCAAGGGACATTAAGTTGCTTTGCATTAACTACATTTGTCTACATACTAACTTCCTGCTAACCATTTTTGGTTAATCTAATAATGCACATTGACAATGTGCAAAACCCTTAATGGGAGTTTAAGGTTGTTGTTTACTGCATGAAAGTTTTTTGACAAGCTCTCAAGTGTGTTTATATCAGACAGCAGGCGTCCACACGGCTGCAGGGTGTCTCTCAGTGCCATCAGAGCAGGGATCAGCACAAATGTGTGCAATGTGTACACCAGGGAAACCCGATCTTGAGTAATTGTCAGGATAAGGCGAGGGATTGACCTCTGCCATGAACCATATTTTCTGAAACAACACACACTTGAGCTAGCTTTGAAATAGCCTCTCCTCCAGGACTGGAGTGGCCCATGAGGAAGCTAGTCATCAACTTTTTAGTGTAACTAAACAAAGCCTATGGTAATTTAATTAGCTCACTCTTACATTCTCAGCGAGCAGATAGCCGGTGCCCTCTGCTCCCCGAGACGCCATCCCTCTGCTGGCCGTGACATCACACGCCAGCAATGTGAGGCATGGGTCCATCTGCACAGGGCTTGTTTTGTATTTGAAGCACTGTTTTTCATTCACACAGAATAAACTCTTCTAGTCATTCATCAAAGCACTTACTAAATCAGTTCAAAATCTTCTGTTGTCTTTTGACTGTTGGACCTCAAAGTAAATGTGGTGATTGTTATTGTGTGAAAGCATTTAAGACTGCTGTGTTTTCATGACTGATTCGTGGAAAGTGTTTAGTTTTCATGTGGCGTGTCATAAAATGTTCCCTTTTTGTATTTACTCAAGGCTTTTTCACTTATTTAAAGATTTAACATCTCTCCTCCCTCACGTCTACTCACCCCTTCGTCTGTCCAGACATGGTGTGTTTGGTGTTGTGACAGCTCAGATCCTGCCGCGTTCAGCTTGCATTCCTTTCATCCCAGATCCCCCAGGGGTCCGCCTCACCTCTCCCAATCACTGCCCCAGTGTGAGGGAATCAGACGGATGCAGGATCCGGCAGATGGTAGGCAAGTTCATGGTCCAATGACATCCACCTCAGGCATGCTGTACATAATCCCTCTTTACAATTAGCACTTAACAGCAAACATTAAAGGTCACCTATTATGCAAAATCCACTTTTTCATGTCTTGTATGTATATACATCAACATGTGTCCCCTCTGTGGAAAGATATTCTGAAAGTTTCAGGAAAAAAGATTCGCTCACTTTTTCTCCTGATCCATTTATATAAAAACCTGTCTGAAAATGAGCTGATCAGATTTTGGCCACTTTATGATGTCATAACGATTTTTTGGCTTGTGTAACCATTAGCCAATAACCAACCAAGGTAACACCCGCCCACCTTATCACCTGAATCTCCTCCTAGAGCACCATTGTGTTCTTTGTAACCAAATATCTCTCAGAGGGGCGTGGGGAGTGGCTCCTTATTTTCATCTAAAGTAACAGACAGAGAATCAGCACTTTTGAAACAGGGCTGAAACAGAGGGGATTATGGGATTCTGCAATGCATGATCAGTTTGGTATTTCGAGCCAAACACTTCAGAGACATGTTTTGTATATATCTGAGACCTATAATATATTGATGAAAAATAGTATAATAGGGGACCTTTAATGGCAAACATTAATGAATTAAAGAGCCTGTGACAGCCTCCCAACAACTGTTGTGCAATGAAATATTGGGCTACTCGTCATCTCGAACCGTCAGTTTAAAAAAGAAGGTGCGATACCGTTCCGATAAATATCAATAATTTCGAACATCGTGGGGAAATTCCTTCGACTCATTTTGAAGTTTTGGGGAAGCCGGAAGTGACGTCAATGCGGGAACGCTTCACTGTGCGGCGAGAGAGCCAAACACGGACAAAGTGTGTTGTTATGCGTAGAAATGGTCAATTACTGAGTTTAGGCTCGTTAATAACGTTTTAATGAAGTTGACTACAGTATATTCATATTTGTCAGTGGTTTCATGTCAAGTCGGCGAACATAAACATAAATGATCGTGGTGAAGATGATGATTAAATTAGGATTAAAAATCGGTAGTGAGAGCTACTGAATTTCCTCCCGTCGAATGTGATATAAAAACAAATCGATTATTTTTGTAGTTGTAAACTTAAGTGGATGAAACTACATGTATTAGTGCTTTCATGTCAATTCGGCGAACATATGATAGATTAAATGATCGTGAGGATGATGATTAAAAAATCGTTTGTTTGAGCCGGTCTGCAATTCCTGATGAGAAAATAAACCGATGCTTTTTGTAGTTGTAGTACACCAACATGGATTAAACGTGTGGGTTTTTTACCACAATGTTGGGGAAATTAATGGATAAAATGCACTTATTATTATTATTATTCCCACTCCGATCGGGACACTAGGTCCACCGTTTCTCCGCAGCGAGGCTCCCCCCGTTGACAGTTTACGTGGGCTGGGCTGGGTGCAGTGGCGGACTGGCCTTCGGGACGAATCCCGATGGGCTGGTACCGAAGTGGGCCGGTTGGATACGTCACTAGCACATCCCCCACTCCCCCCGTTGACAATTTACTAGCGGTACCGAAGTGGGCCGGTCGAGAGTCCCATTCCACCACTGGCTACATGACCGTATGATCGCCCATATTGACGCACCTAATTCCTAAACTTCTAACAGATACAACATAAACCGATCCTTCAGCCTCATGAGCTCTCAGACACGTTCAAAATTAAACTGTCATCGCTGTCTGAGCTTGCTGCTGTGTGCACCATGGTGCGTTTACATGCAGATGCTGGGGTCCTGAACGGTGCAGCTGGAGCGCTGTGCCCTCAATGACGTCACACATAATTTGGCGGGACTTGAAGAATCCCCGAGAAGATCCAGAATATGGTCAACATTGAAAGGCAGATTAATGGTTATCAAAGTACAAATATCCAAAATCAGTTCAGTAACGGTTTTCAAGGGGACAATATTTACTCAAATTGATGGGTTTGGATGATGGGGGAAACTCGTGTCACAGGCTCTTTAATACTCATCAGAAATCTTCCTTGGCTCGGTCAGAAAACTCTGGAATCTGGTGGGGAAACCTGTGTCGACTTCTCTGCCATCAGTGGCGGAGCTGCAGGGTAATTGAATTTGGATCAAAGACATTCATGACTTTCAAAAAGGTCTAGAGGGCTGCTCAGTTTTTAGTAATAACAGAAACGCTTCCGGCGTTGACCTCCACTGCCCCCTTCCACCTTCCTCTCCCCCCCTCTGCCCTCACCCCGAAATCCCTGCTTTGAAGGGCTCAAGGCATCGCGGCCACTCAGTCTGATGGAGAGAGGCAGTACAAAAAGAAAAGCTGGGATTTCTTAACCTGTAACCTATTCCTCCTGGACATAGAATAACATCAAATCATAGGAAATTATACACAAAATAAATGAGTTGTAAGAGACATTTGATGAGACTTCACAACCACAATAATGAAAAAATAAATCACCCATATTACATGATTCTGTTTAAGTACAAATGCTTAATGAACTCAGTACGTGCAAATAATTTACTGTAAAAAACATATGGCTGATTCTCATTCTTCACATTATAAAATTCTTCAGACGCAAGTTGTGGTTGACTGCTCTGATCTTACAGAAACTCATTCATGGGCCATATGTTGGAGGAACATGTCAAACGATTTCCTCCTAAAGAGTCGATTGAAATAAAAAGTCTGGGAAACATTCCCTCAATGCAGAGCTGACATGGCTGTACAGTATATGATAGGTCTGACAGTATAATGGAATAGGTGATGTGAGATGTCCTTTATGCTTGTAACAACCAAAGGTAATATCTGGTGACAGTGCGCCCCCTTGTGTTTGAACTACTCTGTAAATGAAAAGGCTGCTGTTGCCTACCAAGAGTATTTCAAATGCAAAAAAACAAACGCAACAGAAGTAGTAAAACTCTTAAAGCCACAGAATGTAAACACAGGAAGCAATAAATACGATTGTTTAGGCAACTAGCAAATGATCAACATTTGAAGATATTCCCATGTGGTAATTAAAACCGTTCTTTTTATAAAAGCTCTAGTGAGTGTTCCAAGTCCGATTAAAAAGTCACTTCCTCTTCCCAGATTTACGCAGCCGTCTGATGGTGGAGGAGAACTTCAGCGCTGACCTCTCAAAAAGTGTCAGAGGACCGTCCATTTCTGTTTCCGTGTCCACATCCATAGAGGAGACAGATGTGGAGGCAGAGGTGGAGTTCCTGCGCTCCGTATCACTGTGGAGCTGTAGGGAAGTCTGTGGAGACACTGAGCGTGAATGGGCCCCGTCAGCGAGGGCCCCCGCATGTCCCTCCTGGCTCTCCTTACTGAGTCCCTCCAGGTGGGCCTGGAACGTAGTGGTCTGTTGTTCCAGGGAGAGGAAACCCTCCTGCACCTTGTCAAACTGCGAAGAAAAAGAGAGTTTTCAGTCCTGGGTCGTTATTTTAAACGTCTGAACAGTGTTTGAGTTTCAGTGTACCTGCTCAATGTTTGTCTGAAGCAGCAGCTCCGGCCAGACTGACTCGCTGTGGCTGCTCACGCTGTTTCTTATATGAGTGTGACTCCAGGCTAACTCCTGGAGGAAAGGGCAGAGGACATTTCTGAGTGAAGACAGGAGGAAACATTCGAAGAGGATTTCTTTTTTTACATGAGGAGAAATTCACCTGCAGTAGCTGTGTGCTGTCTTTCAGGTGAGCCTGGCAGCATTGCAGTCTGTTCCTGTAGTGCCCCAAGATTGCAAACAGATTCTTTGCCAGAGACACAAGAGTATTACAAACAACAACAAAAGGCTCTTAAAAAAATGGAAAACAAAAGACAGCTGTTTTTGTTGTAGAGAACAATTAAAGGTCAAGTAGGGGCAGGAATGTGTGTTGATTGTAAGATTGTCACTGTCACTGTTGGTAAATGTGGGCGTGTGTGTGGCGTGTGAAGTTGTGTGCACGCCTCTATAGAGGTGTGTATGTGTACGTCTAATGAAAAACAACAAAATAAGTTACCATAGCTATGCGGATGACACACACATTTGCGTAACAATTTCACCAGGAGACTATGCTCCAGTTAAAACACTGAGTAAGTGCATTGAACAAATCAATGACTGGATGTGTCAGAACTTTCTCCAATTAAACAAAGATAAAACTGAGGTAATGGTTTTTGGAGCCAAGGCAGAACGTATAAAAGTTAGTGCTGAGCTTCAGTCTGCAATGTTCAAAACAACAGATAAAGCCAGAAATCTAGGTGTAGTCATGGACTCTGACCTGAGTTTCAACAGTCACATTAAAACAGTTACTAAATCAGCCTACTATCACCTAAAGAATATATCTAGGATTAAAAGACTAATGTCACAGCAGGATTTGGAAAAACTTGTCCATGCTTTTATCTTCAGTAGACTCGACTACTGCAATGGTGTCTTCACAGGTCTCACTAAAAAATATATTAGGAAGCTGCAGCTGATTCAGAACGCCGCTGCTCGAGTCCTCACTAACACTAAGAAAGTGGATCACATCACTCCTGTTCTGAAGTCTTTACACTGGCTTCCTGTGTGTCAAAGAATAGATTTCAAAATACTGCTGCTGGTTTATAAAGCACTGAATGGTTTAGGCCCAAAATACATTTCTGACCTCCTGCTAAATTATGAACCATCCAGATCTCTCAGGTCTTCAGGGACTGGTCAGCTTTCTGTCCCCAGAGTCAGAAGTAAACATGGTAAAGCAGCGTTCAGTTATTATGCTCCAAATATCTGGAACAAACTCCCAGAAACCTGCAGGTCCGCTGCAACTCTGACTACTTTTAAATCCAGGCTGAAGACTTTTCTTTTTGTCGCTGCTTTTAATTGAACTATTCATATCTTAGACTGCACTGTAACTTTTATCCATGTATTTTTTCTTTTAATGTTTATTTTATTATCTTTTCTTTTTAATGACTGATTTTAAATGCCATTTTCTTAATGTCTTTTATTTTTGTTAAGCACTTTGAATTGCCTTGTGTTGAAAGGTGCTATATAAATAAACTTGCCTTGCCTTACGTCACAGTGGCTATTTAAAGTAATCTGTGAACCTACTGATTATCAGATTATTTTGACATATTTGTATTTTGTGTTTCTACTGTATATGTTTACATGCTTTAATCAAGCGCATATGGTTATAAGAAATGTTAGGGTGCTTTTATTTCACACATAGTCGGTTAGTAGGCCTTCCATATACCCAAATGTGTGTGCAGTGAAAAGTGAGTTTTTTTATAATACTTCCCCTTTAACTTTGGAAAACTACACCTTCACACCTGCTCACCTCTGCGTCTGTCTGGGCCGAGGCCAGGTCTCCGGGGCTCCCCTCTTTGGTGAGCGTGACCCCGGTGTGAAGCTCCTCCAGCTGAGCCCAGAGACCTCCAAGACCCTCCAGCATGTCTTTCACACTGGCTTCAAAATCCCCCTGCACCTGCACGAGTCTACACAGTGACCTCATCCTAACAGAAGGGAGAGGAGATGTTAATCCAACTGAGCAAAGTTTCCAAGGACGCAGACAGCATGTACACTATATGTTGAACTCACCTCTGCTGCAGGTAGGTGCGGATAATCTTCACTTTGTCTGCCAGAATAGAGTCCTGGTGCAACTCAGACCTGATATCAGCGTTCTCAAGTGTGTGAGACACTGACTACAGCCAAAAGGAGGATTCAGAGGGTTAGGATTTAGTTTGTGGATTTGTCTGGTTTGGCACTTAAAATGTATGCATCATGTGGCTTTGCAGCGATCGGGATAAATACATCAAGCTAAAGTCACTTTAATTTGTTTGTTCATAATGCTTTCACATAACATTTATTGGAGATGTGTGCAAGGAATCTATTTGCATTTAATATCCGTTCACATCTGCTGTACACATGAAACTGTCTCAAGACATATTTTCAGACAAAAATAATCTGCAGTTGAGATTTAATAAAAAAAAGGTTCACCCAAGAGAATAACCATAATATAAGACCATTTTGAAATAAATGACCTCAGAAAAGAATCATTGGAGGGGGGATGATCATCTTTAGAGGGTGTAATTCTCCTGGCAAATTCAATTAGTCTGATGCTGGTGCCACAATAAGGGACCAATTACCCCAGTATGTAAGCACATTGTTAGAATTAAGATTACAAAAAACCTGATTTCTATCATTAGTTGTTGAAATATTTAGTCATAAACGACAGCTGTACCACTGGACTTGTTGGGGGTTAGAAAGCTAGGATTATGGCCAAATAGGCTAACTGCTATGAACACATTCATAGTATGTGCAAATGTGCAGACAGGAAATACAGAAGGAGACATAGCATTAATATTTTTCTCCTCTGCCAACGTGTTTGAGTTCACACGACAGCAGCAGAGAGTGTTCCCCCGGGCTAGAATATCTGTGAATGCCTGAGTGCAAGCTCTGATCTAATATCACCAACAAAGGCTGAGAACACAGGAGATGACAGGTATTGCTGGAGGCTGCTCTGTATGTGAGAGGGTTTTTTGATTCTTCAGGGAGGTTTTCTCCCTCTTACCTCCAGCCTGGAGAGCAGAGCCTGTATGTGTGGCATGCCGGGGTCTGGCAGCGTCTCATGGAGCACACACAGCAGCAGACTGTCAACCAGGGCGAGGGCCAGGGTGAGGGCCAGAGCAGCGTCAGGGCCCGGGCTCCCCGGTGGGGACATGCTGGAGAAATGATGAGAGCACAGTGAGCATGTGTGTTGATTTGTTTTAAAAGATTATGATTTTTTTTTATTCTGTTGGAAATAGCTTTTCAAATTACAGTTGTTTGATCCGATGAATATATGGTTAAATGGTTAAATGGCCTCATCATGACTACTGCTTTTTTGAGAAATAGGTAAATAAAGCATTTGATAGCAAATGACAGAGAGGTTTAGGACAGGTTTCCCCAAAATATGGATAAGGCAGATGTTTGAAAGGGAAATATCATGTGAACTCACTTTTTAAGTGCTTTTGCACAAGCTGGAGTGGTATCTGGAGTGCCTAGTCCACAACATTTGGAATAACACAACCCAGTCAGTGTTTGTATATTGTCTTGATGAGGGATTCAACAAGCTGTTCAGATTAAGTTCCCCTTCCTATGTCACATGCAGGCTCATTGGAATATTCCACCTAACAACGTGGGAACTACCTTAACAAAGGTGCACTCTATTTTTCTCAAAGCCAATCAGAGCAGACTGGGCTTAAAGAGACTGGTGCTAAAACAGAGCGTTTCAGATCAAGGGTGAATACAGGTGTATTCAGACAGACATTATGAGAAGAATAATGTAGTTTTTTTTAACAATGAACTATGAATATGTTCCAGTAGAATCCCAAAATACAAATATGAACAAAAAAAATAGCATTGTATGTATCCTTTAAATTGACATAAGCTATTTAAAGGTCCCATGTCATGCTTTTCCGGTTATTACCTGTCCCCTTGTGTGTTATGTAGATTGTTCTGCATGTAAACGGTCAGCAAAGTCACAAACCCTCAAAGTACACCCTGTAGCGAGTAAAACTCTAACACAGAAAATACCTGTCTATGCTGCCCCAGAACGCCTTGTTGGAGATTTTTTTTCTTTTCTTGCTGGGTACAGTGACGTGACCATACCCAAATGGACCCATTGGTCCAAATGGACACACACACACTCTCTCAGCGACGAAACTGTGACGCGCTGGGGGGGTGCTAGTGGAGCTTCGCAGCGGCGAAATTGTGGCGCGCTTACGGCCCGTCCACACGGTGGCGTGCTTTGAAGCTTCAACGCAGCTTCCCATTCACTTTGAATGGGGTGACGTTACGCTTTGCCGAACTGCATTGTGGTTCTGTCGCTTCACTTTGCCTCCGTTGCTCGCTTCAAAAGTTGAGAAAAGTTCAACTTTTCAAGCTTCGACGGAAGCGTCAGCCAATCAAGTCATATGCCAGTACAAGCTCTAGCCAATCAAACCGCGTGCTTGTGTGTCTGGGGCGGGAGATTCATGTGATTGGTTGTTGGTCGAGCTTCAGACACGCCCGCCGGCAAGCTTCAACGCATGCTGCCGTGTGGACGCTGCGTTACACTGTAGGTGCGCCGCGTTTGGGGGTGCGGGTGCTAGTGGAGCCTCGCAGATGGGGGTGCTGCAACCCCCTCAGCACCCCCCCTTCCCGCGTCCATGGTGCTCAGGCTGAGTTCATGCTGAGTTTCGCGATGTCTCGCAGAACCCACGCAGCAACCAGGAAACAACACCAGTAATAGAGCTCACACTGTCCGCTCCTCACAGCAGCGAGCAGCGCAACGTCCCGCCAACACGGCATCCAGACCCCACGCAGCATTCTCATCTGTTTGTCATTACTGGTGTCATTTTCTGGTTGCTAACAAACGCCATTGAAACACATAATCACTGCTGTTCCGCTGTAACGGTGGTGGACTCATCAGAACAGAGTGGGCGAGCTGACCAATCAGAGCACAGTGGACTCACAGGGAGGGGGGGGGCAGGAGCTCCAACAAGCCGTTTAGGACAGAGTGAATACACATAGGCCTACTATACAGAGATGCTGTATGAGAAACCAATGTGAGTTTGGAAAATTGCATAATGTAAATCTATTCTAGTAGACCTCAACAATGGAATTATGATCATTAGAAATGGCCATGACATGGGACCTTTAAATCTGTGGGCAACTGTTTATGCACTTGGGGCATGAAATACCAGTGTTGATAGGCTCTAAGGTCTTTTTTGTCCAAAATATCAAACCATTAAATTAATTCTCACCATAAATACTGGTCATTCCTGTGTTCCATAACAACCTCCTGCTGTATCCTCAGTGGAGGCTCCCCCTTGAATAAAAGCAAACACACTGAATAAGCATGACATGATTAAATCCAGCAGCACGGTCAGGAGAGATTCCCCTCAGGCGCTCACCCCTTGCCGCAGGCGGCACTTCAGGGCATGGACACAGCCTCCCAGAAGCATCCACAGCAGACACACCAGCAGGAGCCTGCCGCACACATCCAGCAGCAGCAGAGAGGGGTGCAGCGGCGCCTCCACCTGGCACACTGACCACACTACAACCACAGGAGCCACACTGGAGCAGCCTTTCCAGAGGCGCAGGGTCTTCAGAGTCTGTGACCAACCTGTGTGCTGGGGCTGATCAACAACTGGGGTTTGGTGTGAACTGCTAAATAAAGGGGAAACAGAACGGGTTTATTGATAATTAAATAATGGACTTACTTGCTGCACCAATAGGCATCTGAGTATGTTTCACTCTTTCCCATGATGTGAACAATTCAAAATGATTATTCAGCAACCAACCAAGTCTTGTCAACATTAATTTGACCATGATTCAGCTGTTTTTTGTAATTGTTATGAGTTGTAATTTGAGAGTTGCCCTGGAGGATTTTTCTGGATTTATATGTTGTCTATAAATGTAGAGATAGTGACTATGTAATGGCATTGCATCTAAATGTATTGTTATAAGTGTCTGTTGATTGTTTTGTGTATACCGAGGTACTGCAATAATGAGAATAATATTTTTTAACAGCTAGCCTCAAGTAAGTACTTTTCTTTTAGATTACTAAAACATAAGGTTCTGAACTTAAATATGAAATGACTAAAATCTTTGAGGTATTATTATTTTTATTTATATTTATCGATAACTTTTTATGTAAATGCGCTTGATGCTAAACATAATAATTTTCTGACAATGCAACTGTGTGTACTTCAAACATAGCCTCAAAAAAAAAATCTAATTATACTATCAAGAATAAATAGAAGTCATATTGTTACTAAAAATGTCCCCTTAATTTCTCGCAAATAGGAAGATATTAGGGAACAACAGATGCCATGAGTAGGAAAGTTACAGATTTGTTTTGCACTCTTCACACCATTTGGTCAATCTTTTACAATGATGGATCCACTGAGCAACAGATGGTTCTCCCTACAGTACACCAGCACTGTATGATAGACACTTCAGGTCTTTTAGCTCATGTCTGGTAAACAGTAGGACCCTGAGGTGTAATGTTGAGAGACATCTTCCTAATAGAGTAGAAAAACACACGCTGTCAACAGAGATGTTCTCTTCCCCGTAGCAGAAGGTAATCAGAGACCTGCCACTCAGACGCTGATTCAAAGGAAAGGCCAGCAACACACAGGAACCTACCTCTGCTGAGTTTTCCTCCTCTCCTCGTCCTCTTTGACCTCCATCCATTTACAGACCCGATCTGCGCTCCCTCACTGTCCTGTACCACCTTTACCTTCAGAGTGGACCACTGTCAGCAGAGGCATGGCACCACAGAGCCATTAGATCAAACATACACACCTCCTGGTATGTTATTAGGTCTGGGACATGACAAGCTTGATAAACTGGTTCTACTGGAGGATTGGTTTTTAAGCAGGTAGTGGCTCTCTCCTTTTCCCACCTTCCTTCCATGAAGGAATGTTTAGACATACTGATGACAATTGTGTTCAGGACAAGCCCTGCTGCACCCAACCCCTCCAAAAAAAATCAAGTTTCTGTTCTGTGAATCACTGGCACACACTAGGTCAGGTGATCAACAACCTGGGATCTGAAGAGTTACATTTACAATTTAAATTACATTTATTAAAATACATGTTGACAAATGGAAGAGAGCCAATTCAAATCATGTACACCCTAATTAAGTTTGTCTGTTCAATTGTTATGTTCTAAATTAATTGTAAGATGCTGTAGAACTTGTTTCTGTATTTTGAGGCCACACCACCATCTAGCAGTGAGAGCAGGAATAACATCCAGATAAATGAAGCCGGACCGAAAGAGGACATATTATGCTAATGTTCAGGTTCATATTTGTATTTTGTATCTCTACTGTGACATGTTTCCATGCTTTGATGTTCAAAAAGCTCTTTGCCTGTGCTGCAGCACCTCTTTTCACCCTCTGTCTGAAACCAGAGCCCAGTCTGCTCTGATTGGTTAGCTGGCCGGCTCTGTTGTGATTGGTCAACCAATTAGAGATGTCCAGCATCACGTACAATGTGTTGGAGCGCAAGTCAATATAAGCTTGAATGTAGTGATGTCACTTGTTACAGAAGTAAACAAAGGAGTCCAATGGAGGCGTTTCAAGCAGGGGGGGGGGGGGGGGGGGAGAAACTCCCTCTCGAGGAACTTTGGGATTTTAGCCTTAGCAGAACATTTACCATTTACATGCTCAAAAATGGATATAACACACTACAAGAAAGGGAAAACTCCAAAAAGCATAATAGGGAATCTTTAAACTGAGTTTGAACCTGAAAACACCTTGGAATAGTTTGGGTTATTGAGGCAAACACATTCATATTGAAGTCATCAGAAAACACATTGTTCAGATATAAAATAATTTAATTTCTCAACACATGGTCAAAATCATCGCTCTACCTGATCAAACCGATTACATTCCTGCAATATTTTTTACATTGTACACAGGATGGCCTATTGTCATAGACGGATATAAATAACTTTAACATGTTAACTCTATTTTACAATGGCCCTTCATTTAGCCTGTGTTCTCCAATACTTATTCCCTCACATACTTGTGTGTGAAGTGCTTACAATATTTTGTAGGTGAATAGAGTGGAATAGGCCTTTATTATCCTTAAATACTGCAACTTATTGAGCTTCTGAGTTGTCCCCATTTTTTACAACACAAATATGTTTCACTTGTCTGTCTAAAAGCTTCTACAAAAAGTTGTGTTCACCCGTTAGGACAGATGACCAAGTTCGCTGGCAGCTGTGTGGCTCTGGTTTAAACATATCCTCAATGCAAAGAAACGATGGAGAACTGAGAATCAAGAAAAAGAAAGTGAACTAAAGATCTGAAAATCTGTTTCTGTCCTCCAGTGTTCTAACTTGTCTTACTGCAGTGGTGTGTTTGTGTTCTCCAGGACGTACTTACATTATTTTTGCCATATTTCTGTGATGATTATCTTCTTTTTATCCTGTTAGCTTTGTAAAACTAAATGTACTTATTCTTGGAAAAGCAATAATAATATCTTCTTGAATATTTACTATAAAATCACAGGTGTTGTAGTTGTGACCATGACAAATGAAAAGATATATTTGGGGGAAAAGGACAATCCAGCATTTAAATAAAACAGATATCTGAGTCATTTACCAAAAACAAATTAATAGACAAATCACAGATAACAGCATTACGTTGTACACTCAATACAACAGATGGGCAAAATGACAATGACCTGTTATGTAAGGCCAAATGCAGGACTGTTTCAGTGTTGCCAATCTTTTTCCAGTTCTGTATATCCTTCCATAATTGTCATCTACAAATACTTGACATTTTTAAATGGTACAAATATGTTTAATGGGCACTCAAATCTGTGCAAGGACCGAACAACAAACCTATTCCACCACTTCATACTCCAGTAGGTCACACAGAAGGACTTCTTGTTGCGTTTATTGTCCACGCGCACAGGAACACTGAATTTCATTTAGGTTCCTGTTTTCAGCAATTTCATTTTTAAATCTTCTCCAGGGCTGTGTATTTAAAACAAGTTCAGTTTCTGTCTTTTATATCATCTGTTCAAATCAAACCTTTGCATTTCTCAGTTTATTTCCTCCCAAAGTTCTGGCAGCTTGCATCTCCACAGCTCATTAAACACTTCAGACACATAAAACTGTGCTGCTCATCAGTCCATCCTCCTCTGTATAAAAGTCTCCATGTGACTGTGTGTTCAGGTATGTGCATACAAGCTGCTGAGGTATACATGCAGGACTCCTCAAGTTCGCAGAGTTTATCCCTGTGCAGCTCAGGGTTTCGTGATGTGGACTTCACTAGTGCCGCTGCCGTTGGTTGTCGTGGTGATGATGTACTGTGTTGTGGATTGCTGATGGGCCGGCTGCTGCTCCAGATGTTCAGCGTGGGCCTGGGTTGTGTTCTGAGGAACGTTCTGCTTTGTCTCCAGCTCAGTCTGACCCTCAGAGATGACGTAGTGTGTCTGCAGGACAGGGGGGGCAAGTGATAATGTTCAATACAGATTTAGTGTTATTTCCTATTTATATAAGTACTTGTAAATAGAGCAAACAACACATTTCGCATACCTTCATCTGGCTAGCTCAAAAGAAGGAGACCAATGCTACAGCTAAATCATGTGTTTAAAAGCCCTATTTTGACTTTAGTTACAGTAAGTATAGTTTTAAGATGAATACACTGAATACAAAAAGCTGAAATAAATGTAAAGAAGGTTTTAGGGTGCAGAAAAGTTGTTGTATTCAGTATACATTCTTCCATATGAGATATATGTGTTGTATCAGGGGCGTTTAAATATACGTCCCGTTTATATGTCAAGCTTCAATACGTTTTTTGACCTATATATCAATGTGGCACAGAGCAATTTTCAGTATTAGTTGTAATAATATCCGTTCATAAAAAATGTTTTTAAAACCATGAAGAACCTTCAGGCAGACCCTGACTTCTGTGGGAATACAGGTTTGACCAATTCAATCCTTTGTTGCCACTGATGTCCAGGTCAAACCTAGCTTGCTGCCAAAATGGAGCAACACTCCATTCAACCAAATAAAAGACAATATATGGATTAGAATCCCTCGGCAGCTGGGATACGATTAAGATGGAATTGTGTCTGATATGCACTAGTTTACGTTAAAGGTTGGTTACAGAACTGGACCATCACCAACAGCTTCCATTAGCATCAGATTCTGATTTGATGCTCATGGTAAAAAAAGGGTCTGATCGGTTGATGTATAGTCTAGTTAGCTTCGTTAGACGTTGTCTTTTTTAATGTTCACCCACCAACAAAAATCATTATGTAAATGAGGTCAAATGAGTTTCCTTCTAGACCAGTGCTTCTCAAAGTGTGGTCCGCGGACCACTGGTGGTCCGTGAGCGCCCCCTAGTGGTCCGTGAGTATATTGGTAAAATTTCACATTTGAAAGAAATACATTTATTTAAGTTTTTCGCACTCTCGCGGGAATATCTTCGCAATGGAACGAGCTTAAGTTTCACTTTCGATTGCATGATATAGCCCAGATAAACACCTTCATCACACATGTTGCCACTTGTTTGTACCATTTTCAGGCGATTTGTAAAAAAACTATGTGTTTTTGGATATTTGTGGAGTTAGGTGGTCCGCGAGTGTTTTTTTATTGGTTAGGTGGTCCTTGGTATGAAAAAGTTTGAGAAACACTGTTCTAGACAGTGGCTGTGTGGAATGGACATGCATGGTAATTCCTGCAGGACTCAATGTGCACAGTTGTCTTTAAGTAAGAACAAGGGTGTACACAAATGAAAGTGTAATAGTGATTATTTACATAACAGCAGGTTGTACTAGTTACTTTCAGGAATCAGGCACCATCACTCACCGTTTTCACTTGGTTGCTGTTGCCTCCGGATACAGGTGTGTTGGCCTCGGCTATCACATACTGGGCGTGAGGTAGAGCCATCATCTGGATCTCAGAGGCTGCCAGAGTAAGAAATGAATACATTAACAGGAGAGAAAATCACCGCAACTTCACACAGCTATCAAAAAGGTATAGAATTGATCATATCAATATCATGTGTGACTCACAGTAGCCTCTGTAGTTCCAGTTCCCGGGGATGTATGCGTGCTGCACCGCCCCGCCCTGCTGCTGGCTGCTGCTGCTGCTCTGCAGGGTGTGGCTCTGAGCCAAGGTCACAGGGGTCAGCTGGGTGGGGCTCAGCTCCTGACTGGGCTGCTGCGAGATGGGGCTGAGAGGCTGACCGCTGACCTGAAGAGGAGGGAAGAGACAGAGGTGTTCTCTTATCTAGCCTGAAAGGACGGTTTTATACCAACATCTAGATACTTTTCTTTTAAGTGCTACGTTTCAATCTAGATTTTTTCGAAATTGGGTTGCCATGTGGTGGCTGGTATCAGCCGTAGAGAAGCCTGCCTTTTGTTGGATATAGTAGCACTAGATGGTACTCGATTTGTGGTGCTAAAAAAAAAAACGGTCTCGCGCACACTTCCTGCTGCGCAGTGATACGTTCTAAAGAAAATAGTTCCTACATGACAAAAATATCATAACATGGTCTGTGGATTATCTTGAGTAACACATTTTCCACCAAAGAAATGTGTTCCACATGTATATCCGATAGAGCTCTATATGGTCGATACTTCTTAAACTTCAAAACAGTGTAAATTGATCAATATCACGACACGTAAGAAGAAAAATCTTTGTTTTTATTAATATTTTTGGGGTGAACTGTTCCATGGGACCAGGGACGTGCACAAGTACGGGCTAATGTTGCCCGGGCAACGGCCCGTTTGGCCTGTTTGGCTGACCTGCCCCTCTGGAGAGAGCGAGAGTTTGTTTTTC